CCGGCCCGCGTGTGGTTTTTAAACTTTTCCGAAAACTGCCGTTACATGGCAATTCAAACAGAGCGTGTTCAGTTAAACTTAATGAGATAACGTTATACAGTTATAAGTGGGCGGTACCACGCCCATTTTTCAAAACTCCTCAATGATCTTATTTCTTTTTAAGAGATTGTTGTGAGTATCAACTTTGAGTAAATTAGCGTCCTTAAATTTCGAAAAAACGAAGTTTCCACATTTCTGAAATTTACCGTTGTATGAAGAGTGGGCGTAATTTTAATCCGATTTAAAAAAGTTTCAGCGTTTTGTTTCTATGTGTCAAGCACAATAATCATTCCGAGTTTGGTACAAATTGGACGAGCGGTTACCGAGTTAAACATATGTGGCCATAATGGTGTGGTGCCACGCCCACTTTTCAAAAATTTATAATGTTCATATTTTCCGCCTAAATAGTGTTTGAATTTACTTTAGTAGTTACCAAAATATCGCAACTTTCGTATTTCTGAAAACTACCATTACATGGGAGGTAGGCGTGGCTATAAGTCCGATATCGCCCACTTTCAATACCATCCGTTCAAAGGAAGTACATGCACCAAGTTTCGTAAAGATATCTCAATTTTTACTCGAGTTCTCGTGTGGACAGATGGACAGACGTACGGACGGACGAACAGACAGTAACAGCTTAATCGAATTCTTTTCTTCATTTTTGCGCTCGGGTGTAAATAGAACCAGATAAACGAGCATATGATAAAGTTGAAATATAAAGCTTGTGGAAAAGGTATGTACATATTCTAGGGAGAGGTATGCAGAAATCAGGCAAAAAAATCTCGTTGGATAAAAAAAATTAACCTGGCCTTTAGAATTTCCTTCGAATATATAAGATTTTCAATTCATTTCTTTTTTTTGGCCTGAAAACAACATTTTATGAACTTTCTTGAAAGTTTTAAACATATTCGATTCCATGGTTGCTTTAAGCGAAAAATATATTTTAATTTATTCTCCATCACTTAGGATGTAAAATATTTACCACTACAGTCCAAGAAACGCTTTAGTAACGAATAAGTTACGGAAATAGTTAACTAGTCTAAGGAGGTACCGTAGCTTGTAAAATAAGTTAATAGTAAAAAAAAAAATTTTTAAAACAAGCTTTCTAAGTATGAACCAAATCGAACCATAAATGCGGTTCTTCCTAATGTCAAGACTCCTGCGCCACCCAGGGGATTATTTCATTTTTCATATTGCATTGTCATCGGGTTATGAGCTAAGTTTTTATGTTTCAAGTATCTACCTTATCGGGAAGTAAGTGAAATATTGATTGCGAAATCCCAGGACATGCATACATATCTTCACTAGGGTGCAACACTCTCCATAGAAACAAATCGGTACCGTGTTTTTATAGAAATTATAAAATTTATTATATTTAAGACCTTCGCCGAAATATTTCGGAAAAATATTAAGATTTACGTGAGCTGGACCTATTTTAAAATACATCAAATATCGAGTTTTTTATAAATAAATTTAGTTTTTCAAAACAAAATTTCTAAAAAATTACCTCAGATCATAGAAAGGCTTAAGCTTAAAAGGTTTTTACCAATTTATTTTTTAGTTTTATTAACGGAATCAAAATAACGTGATTTTTTGAGGCTCACGTAAATCTTAATATTTTTCCGAAATATTTTCGCGGAAGTCTTAAAATATTTTAAAAAATTTAAGATTCCGGTGGGAAACCCGCTATTTTTCTTTTTTTGTGTTGCACCCTAATGTAAATAAATGTGAAGTTAAATAAAAGCTTGTAAAAAGACGTAACTCCTTCTGAATAGCTTTTTTTTTTAAATGGCGCATTTGAAGTAAAAGAATTAAGTTGATATTAATAAAGGCATTGAATCGATGAAGATTCAATTAAAGTAACGAGAAACGAAAATGAAGTGGGTGAGATCGCGAGATATAAGGCTCTGAGTTTATTATAACCACAAGTAAATAAAAGGATATGAACGATTACGAACAACATGGGACTATATGTAAATTGTGGTAAACGATGAGAATAGGAATTCACTTTTATTCTCACCATCTAATTGATAATGAGAGTAAATATCCATCCTCATGAGAATGAATTCGTATTCTCATGAGAATTAAGCAAGTCACGTATCGTATTGATTATTGTGACTAAGGCCTGGTTTATGACCTAGCGGATTAGCGTCGCTTAATGCGATTAAAATCGCTAATAGCAACCAATTACACAAATTCATATGGTGATGTTTATGGTGCAGTGTTAAACCCATTCGGCTTTTGCGTTGTATATTTTTAGGTCCATATTTTATTCATTTAGAGATTTTCGAAGATAGAAATTTAGTCTAGCGATTTCTGGAACCCCACTGATGGTCAGCAATTAAAAACTCCGAGTAAACTCTTTCAGAACGTTCTGATTCACATAACCATAGTGCGTTTATTATCGGTTTTTATAGGATAATACATAAATACCATCTCTCGCCTAAGAGGTATTCCCAACGCTCGCGTGCTCCATTCATATCCTTGCAAAAAAAGTAATTTATTGAATATCTATCGGAATACGATTAATCTTTCTTAAACCACCCAGATACCAATATTTGACAAGTGTTAATAAAAAAGTAAATGATAACTCAGACAAAAATGAGATGCTACACACAAATCACTATCAATTCCACTGCGAAAAAATAAAAGCAACAGAACGGAATCCCAGGCAAAAACATTTTATTGATGAACCTGATGAAGAGCACTCTCATGTGCCACTTACAAACATACTCAAGCACCAACCAACCAACGCCTCAACGAGTACACAACAAATAAGTAGTCGCTTTTAGTTCGTACATATATATATACATGCATACATATAAAGAAGCAAAATCCATGTGTATGTATGTACGTATGTTTGTACTGGATTTATGTTCTGTATAAACGCTGCAATCAAAATCTGGCAAATGTCATTCGAATGTTTACGTTCAACTGAACAAATAAGATAACATCATGGCCTTGTAGCACAGACTGCGTGCCGCCAACGCTCTATCTACACTCGTCGCTGAAGCGCGAGCACTCCCCGCGCGGCTTAAGTATAAGTAAATTGTTGCACAGTCTCGATAGGTATGTATGTATGTGTGTGCCGGCAGCATCTGTGTGGGAAACCGTAAATAGCTCCCAAAGGGATGTTTAGCAGGCGCCGCACCCGTGCTGAGTGACATTTCACCCACCTCCAGCCCACCTCCAGCTCACCTCTCCTCCACTCCACCCCTTGCTCCTTCGACGCAACGCACTTCACTCCCCCCATGTCGAGTTGTTTGAATTGAATTAAATGTTGCGGCCGCTCAATGAGCCTCGCTAAAGAGTGAGTGGCGGCTAAGTGTGTAACTATTTATATATATATATATGTGTGTGTGTGTATGTGTGTGTGTGTTTGTGTGTGCGTGTGTGTAAGGATAAATGTAGCATCAAGGATTCTCAACATTGATAGACAAAATAAGAGGGTTGCTCTTTTCTGCTCCTGCCGGCTACTTGCGCCTGCTTGCTTGCCTGTAAGTCAGTCAGTGGGCTATGGCGTTAATTGCTTGTAATTTGTTACTGAATGGCATTTAATTGTGGCAAGCGAAATTTATTAAATTTATTTACTTATTAATTATAAGTTCACAGTTGTGGCCCAATTATGCAATAATTTATTTGCATTTTTTTCTTTTCATTAACTTATACGCATTTTAGAGCTGACTCGGTCACCTGGAATCCACATAAATTGATGGGCGCCCTATTGCAATGCTCTACCATACACTTTAAGGAGGATGTAAGTACGGTTTTTTTTTAAAATTGGTTTTAATATAATTTTTATGTTTTGGGTAGTGGAAAATGGGTAGCAAACAACCTCTCACATTGTAGAACACTGTTCGAGCGTTTATAATCTTTTTTTTACTTTTAATGCCGCATCTCCACTAGCCAATGGAATGAAAACAGATTTGTACAGTTTAAAAAATTGGCATTGTCATTAAAGATTTTGTCATTTAATGTCCAGTTGAAAACTTTTAGGAATTTTTTCGACGAATTTTCAGAATTTGTTCTGTTTTGTTTTTACGAATTCCAAGGATCTTTTGGCAATTTTTGAGATTTCTCTGAACTTTTTGGAAGTCGTCGGAATTTTTCAGGACTCTTAAGCTTTCCGTTACTTGTCTTCTTGAATTTTAGAGTTCTCGGTATATTCAAAATTCGGCGGTTCATTACAATCTTAGCTTTGCTTTTTATGAATACCAGCACCAATGCTGAGGAATAAATTATAATGAAAATTGGATAATGGCACTATTAGGCTGATACATGCATATATCAATTAACATTTTCTTTGTGTTCTGATCCCCTTCCCCCTCCGAAATGTAGCGTCTCCGGTGATAAGTTGTTAATAATCAGGGTTAGGATTTTAAGCTACTAAAAACTTGAAAAAAAGCAAAATGAGCTTCGAAAAAAAGGTAAAAAAAGACAACATTATGTTATAATTTTGTTAGGTACTGCATTTATTTTACAATGTGCATGACCAATTAAATATTTAAAAAAAATACATACAGTGGTCAAAAAATTATAGCCGAACCACTTTTTGCCCAGTTTTAACGTATTATTTTTTGTTGTTATTTAATTTTGGTTATTTTGTTTATAAAAAATATAGTTCTTTCTTTAACGAAACTTGTACTTTATTCTACTAGAATACAATGGGCTACAAAACTACATACTCAGAATCTAATTAAAAATGGAAATTTTTACGAAAGGGCACGAATTTCATACCTGTTTGTGCTAAATAATTTATTTTTATCATTATTTTTCTTTTAATAAAACTATGTTGAAATAAAAGTGAAAATAAAAAAAAATATTTTGTCAGAATCGTTTAAATTTGTTTAATGTCACTTTGACGTGATAGTACGCACCACTTATAACTTGGATACAGCGACTGCATTTAAAACTTTTTAAGGGTATTCGCTTTTAGTATTTGCTTGTAATGAACTTTCGAATTTTAAGTCGGAGATTTTATTTTCGTGAGCAAAGCCATTAGTGGCTGAACACATTTCGCACAGTGTATATACATATGTACATATGTATGTTAGGTATCAAAATGACTTGCGTTATAGGCAGCGTTGAAACTTCTGTAAACTGCCGGCATAGCCACCCCCAAACGAAGAAAGAAAATCTTCACAGCAGTTGTTACACTGTACAATATACAACATCAGCTATTACATATGTACACTAACAACAAAAGTCATTCATTCAATATGTTCGCATTGGTCACAGTTGCTGTTGAAAGCTATTGCCAGTCGTGGCTGAGTCAAACTGTCAGTTTAGGAATTTTAATTAAAATTTTAACTTGACTTATTGCCAAAATGTAAGCGGACGCATGACTGACTTTGGTTCCAACAAGAATTTAGGTATAAGCGTATGTTGTTGTAGTCGTAACCGCTAAGTAGTTTGTGAAAATAAATATCACTAATATTTCACATTTTCCGGAACAAAAAAATTGCAAATACTTTAAAGCTCCATCTAATATTACATATATGTGTGTAGGTATGTACAGGTACATAAAACTGTGTATGTACGCATACACACAGCCTCCAGCATATTGCGCACTTCATAATCCCCTTAAGTAAATAATCTGACAGCCTTGAGAGGAATTACAATTACAACTACAAGCAGCGGAATCAACATGAAAAGCGCATTAAATGCGTGTGAATTCCAAATCTGCTGCGAAAATGCTCAATTCTCAACACACACGTTATACTCGTTTTCGCCCAGTTCCGGTCCGGTCACGCGCTAACACTTTCGCTTCCACAGATATTTTACTCGCCACCGCACTCAACTGAGTCTAATCCCCCCACTACTGCTCTCTCTCTCTCTCTATCTTTTATTTCCCACCCGCAGGGTCTATTGATTAGCTGTAATCAGATGTCAGCCGAGTATCTTTTCATGACCGACAAGCAGTATGACATCAGCTACGACACCGGCGACAAGGTCATCCAGTGCGGCCGGCACAACGATATCTTCAAATTGTGGCTACAGTGGCGCTCCAAGGGCAATGAGGGATTCGAGCGTCAGCAGGACCGTTTGATGCAACTTGCCGAGTATCAAGTGAAGCGCATCAAGGAGCAGTCAGATCGCTTCCATCTGATACTCGAGCCAGAGTTGGTGAATGTTTCTTTCTGGTATATACCAAAGCGTTTGCGCGGCGTTCCACACGATAAGAGGAAGGAAGCTGAATTGGCAAAGGTAAGAACATGATTTTCATTCAGCTTTAAAGGAAGCAGGAGTGTTATGGCGTGTCTAAATTTGCTTTAATTTCAAAATTTGTTTAACCATCTTCGCTTTGCAGATTTGTCCCGTCATCAAGGGGCGCATGATGCAGAAGGGTACATTGATGGTCGGCTATCAGCCAGACGATCGGCGGCCAAATTTCTTCCGTTCGATCATCTCGTCTGCCGCAGTGACCGAGCAGGATGTTGATTTTATGTTGGAGGAAATGCATCGGTTAGGTGACGACTTGTAAAGGAACACACACAAAATGATCGGACGCCGCTGGTTCAGCTCACTTACATACATACTTACATATGTATGTATGTATGTATGTATGTGAGTGTACAGTTGCAATCCCAAGCAGTGCTACAGGCTGGGACCTATGGAAGGAGGTGGAGGTGGAAAAATTAGTTCAATTAACGAAAAATCAAGCAGACGAAAAACGCAAACAAGCAACAAAACAAACAAAAAAAAAATGTTAGAAAATATTAGAAATTATTATTTAGCAAAAAATCTACATATATCAACCAAGAACTATCTTTAAGGTAAAAGCATATCAAAAGAATGTTGTTGGCGCTCAAGTGGCGCATCCATTTTCATTATACATTTAGTAGCTATATACATATATATATATATATATAGTTGTTATCATTATCAGATCAGATGTATACTCACGCACTTAAGCACTTAAGCAAGTACATACATACATATGTACTTGTGCGCTGTCAAGTTTGTTAAGTATTAACGAATTCTTTTTAATTAACTGTTTTAACTGTTGTTGTTATTGTATGCCTGAGACTTTAATCACTGTTTCGTTTGTGTGCTAAACACGAGATAAACTACATATATTTAAAAATAGGAAAAATAAACTTATACATACTCGGTAAGTTTAAAATGTATACATTCTAATGAATCGCAGAGCAGGTGGAAAGAAGATGGAAATGCAGATGGAGAGATGGGATGGATAGGGTAGAGGAGCACATCTCAAAAGAGCATCGATAAATCCCCGACCTCGTTGTCAATTACATTTAGTCAGAGACGGTGCAAATGCCGCACAGAGTCTGCTCGCACAATTGTTCGTGTGAGTCTGAGTGTTCTGTAGGTCAATTGCACCAGACAGCAGTAGAAAATTAATTTTAACTACGCACATTCATATATAAATATGTACATACATACTATGTAAATGAAATAGGAAAACAACTGTATGTACATACATACATACATATGTAGTACAGATAATTAGCTGCATATTTACATAGTACATGCATTTACATATACATACATACATATGTTCCATTTAGTGGCGAAAGTCATTGAAAAAATGTGTGTAAATTTTGAACTTATAAATAAAATTTGGTTGAAAGAAGAAATTGGAAGAGAAGGCAAGTATGCATAGTTGTAGTCAAGGTGTGATTGACAACTCAGTGCGGCTCTCTTTTAAGGTACTATAATGTCAAAAAGTATAAACAAACGAATTAACCCTTAGTGATGCATGTATCTTATCAGCACTGATGTCCTAGGCTTTTATTTCGATTATAGTTTTGATTTACTTACATTACTTACAATCACATATATTTTGTCAATAAAATAAAACAAATTGTTTATAAAATCGTTTTATCAATTTTCTTGTTTTTAATTGTCCTAGTTTTATGCTTTTGCGCGTTTATTTTTATATTTCAATTTTTTATCCTAAGCATTATTCGACACTTATAAAAGTATGATTTTACA